CAGTACAGTTTCGTCTTATTGGTATGGCAAAAACAATTTCAAGGTTAATATTAATAATCTTTTCTTATTGAGACAGGCTCATTGTCTTTCTAGACTTTGTGAAGCCCAAGGGACTGTCGTAACATTAATTGTAACATAACTGCACAGTAATGTAATACACCACCAACAATTTATCGACTCCACCCAATTTGAAACCCAAGACAAGGAACACATGCTTCCATTATCTCATTTTAATTACCCCAAATAAAGGAATTTCTGATTATTTCTCAAACTTTATCCCTCCATGCTATCAGTCTGTTCCCTCTGACCATTCATTAAATCTCATTTACATTGGTTAATTACACTAACCAATAGATTAGGTTTACACTCAACACCTATAGGGACAGCAGCTTTAGAGGTGAAAGGTCGTAAGGCACAACCCCTGCACCAATTGTAACAAGTGTGATGATTGGATAAGATCATTAACTAAAAGATGTCTCACATTAAGGTTAGATAAGGTTTAGTATAAGCTTTGATAAGAGAGGTATCTGTCAACAACTGACATGGCACATAAAACATACTACATTTGCAGCATTATTGATGTCTTTTTGGCCTTGACTGTCAGTTTTAATACGTGTTTAGAATAAGTGAGACATTCCTTTATTAAATAAAATAGCTGTGGGTTGGAGTTACAATTTATTTCATAGTGGGATACTATTATAGCATTATGTATAAGAATTATCATATTAATAAGATACAAGGTATTTTGTATACAAATACGTATATGTAACCTGGGATTGTCTCCTACAATTCAAAGCATTCATAACATTATTGTCCTATGCTAGGTTGTTGCCACTGTCCTGCGATGCACTACAATAGGATTGTCCCTCTTGAGTCCACGACACGTACATACAGATACGTTCGAATACGTTTCCACAATATATGATATGACCTGATAGGATCACCACGATTGCTCCACAACTAAAACCATATGCAGAGGAAGCTTAAAGCTACCCCCCCCCCCCCCCCCCCCCCCGCCTGATCCATTAACTTTATTTGATATCTATGTTCATTGTTTGAGGTATCTGTGTCCTGTCTGTAGGTTCTCTCTTGTATAGTTGTTTAGAGAACACTTGTTACATAGATTCCTATAGGGAGGTAAAATTGTGTAGTCATTTATACTTCCAGATATGCACCAGGAGTGTGTACAGGTCCGATCCTGCAAATATTCCAAACGTGCAACTTGGCTGGGTATAAAGTATGTAACAGTAGGCTTCAAATAAAATGTGCCTTGATTAGTTCTCTTTTGAAGATTAGAGTATCTCTGAATATAATATAAGCATAAGTAACGCATTTAAAGTTATTATTAATTTTAGTCATTCCTCAAACATCTGCTGCTGTGGAGAGGTAAGCAAGGGCCAGGAACACTCTTGGAAAGAATGAATAATAACTTTAAATGCTTTACTTGTGCTTATGCTTATATTATATTCAGAGATACTCTAATGACTGCATTCTCAATATGATTCCAATTTTAAGCATCTAGCACGAAAATTGTCGTTCACTTGCCACTACCCCTGCTTAATAAAAGCCCTTGCCTGCCCCAGGTTACTTCCTCTGCCACTGGGAAGGCTCCCTGTACACCTGCTCACCCCCATTTCCCACCCTATACCCACCCCTATGTACATTATGATTAAATGGTTTTGAGTGGAAGAATTAATGTTTTATACAAGTTAAGTAACCACTGTGTAACTAGTATGTAAACATTGATTTATAAGTGAATATGATACCATGCTTCACATACTTCTTCATAAAACTGTAAGGGGTTAACTCTGAACCAATCTATCAGTATCACACCGAGTGTAACATAGCTACACTTCCAACAAATCGATTGTAATTCACAACAGTAATATCCATAGATAGTCTTATACCAATATCTATTAATTTGATTACTTTCTCGAGATAACTTCAAGATTATCATACTATATTTTTATATAAATCACAAGAATTCTTATACCGGGCACTCTGTTTTCAAGTCTGCATCAAGAATAAATGACTTCTAGACGTACAAAAGTTGCAATGCTTTTCAATCTAATAAATAATCAAATGTTGAACTGTTGTAGAAGAGCAGGGACAGGTTAAAAGCTCACGAGGTAGAACAAATTAAAAGAGTTTGGTTGTAAAATGGATAAACTAGCACTGAACCAGAGCCTCAATTGACTCCCTTAGACTCAATTTCTGAGCACTTAAAAATTAGTTTCGGAGATTTGATACACTATTAGTTTTGGCATCTTGTTAAACCATGGATTGATTAATACCCTGTAAAATCGAGATCAAAACACTGCTGCGGCTGACCCGTAGACAGAAATATACCCATAAAACAATCAGAAAGACGATTTTGTAAACCTACGCACCATGATATAGTATTGGCACATGGGAAAAACCTTGTCGGCGATTTTCAAAACGTATGTAAGTTGCCGCCCAGTCTTCAACTTTTGGGCTCAGTAGGCGGCACAGTTTGGCCAGTACATGGCGCCGCCGCCTAGTCATCATGTTAAACGAGGCTCTGCACTGAACACATTTAAAGACTCTGATCATCATTTGAGGGATTTTGAATCCCTTCCAATACATACTGTGAAAGTTTAATCTGTTAAGAGGAATATCAGTCCAAAAATGGTTCAATTCCATTCAGTATTTTCAAAGATATGATGAATGCAAACCTGTTGGTGGGTCTCTTTTTAATCCAAATGAATAGAAGTTGTCCGATTATCTATGGTTGATGTTTTGATTTCTTTATTAAATGTTAATTGATCAATTGATAAGTCTACATTTTGATATGGATTAAGTTGTGAACATTTAGATATTGTACGAAAACCTAGTAGATAGAAATCTTTCTAAAAGAATTTTAAGAATTCCCTGTATACCCGGAACTCCAGACAAGGCAGGTTGTAAAAATCTGATTGGTCAGCAAACCCGTCTGTTACTTTCACCTGTTCCATAATTCTAGGTTAATCATTGGAAGGATAAATTATCAACAGATAACATGTACAATTTATTTGGATTTCACCAGAATATCATTTCTCTGATGGATGCTACCATCTTTTATTGACCTCATCAAGAAATTGACAACAACCACTTAAGACAAGTAAAACTGATAAGACATCAGAGCGTGATGGTTTAACTTGTATACAGTAGCTTACAGAAGTTAGAAATGGGTAAATTAAGTTTGCACACTTAACGACCATAGCAAATAAAGTAAATGGCACTTATGGTATATGAATTGGTTAATGGCCATTTTGTTTGGAATGAGGGTTTCAGAATGGTAGTCCATAAAACTTCACATGTACTCTCTCCAGGTTATTCAATCGTTAAGCAAACTTAAACAATATTTCTACACAAACAAGATAAAACCATTACATTTGCAAGAATCCAGTTGGCATATCACCCAATTTGAGTATGAACGTACATTGTACATTTATTAAACTGGAGACTGATGTTATTTTATTTCCATCTTACTATCTATTGTCTCGATTTATGTCAGTAAACTCTTTATGAAAATTACTATTTTAAATATTCTCCTGTAAAATATTTGTGTAACTGATGAATAGTTAGCTGACCAAATCCAAACAGTTGATTAAGCAATTACAAAAATAGCTCTTGTAGAAATCTGAAACTTTAGGACCCAAAATAGGTGTTAAATGCTGTCTGCCCACCTGAGATCCAGGTCAATAAGAGACTTAAGGGTTGAGAGAGAGAGAGAGAATTGGGTTTAACGTCCACTCGACACAAACTAGGTCATTTCGGGACTAACACATGGTTCAATTTTATTTCAATCATTCGCTTGCGCGTAGGGGTCTTTAGAAGTGGGAGGAAACCGGAGGAGGTTGGACAGGCGATCCTACTCCTTGTCACGTACAACCGCGGAATCGAAACCACGCCAGTTGACTCAATGACAGACCGTATGATACAGCGCGCGTGCTAACCATTTGGCCATCAAAACCCCTCTTAAGGGTTAAGAAGGCATTTCAATCCAACTGGTTTCACTACAACTTCTGTTTAGGAAGCTGTACTTATAATAATAATGATTCACTTTTTTCCAATCTGTATTCGCAGATAACCACAAAGGACACCGTCCCCCCAAATCAATAGCGCAAATCATTTCAGCTAAAAATTATCGCACATAATTACAGGAAACATCATACAAATAAATGTGTATTTATATCATATATTATCTTTTCAGCCGCCAATTTTATGACAGAATGATAATATGTATAAATGTCTGTGAGTTTGTTCAAGCTATAAGGAAGATTTATCTGACAATGCTAAGTAGGCACAATAATTGATACTTTGCCAGAGAAATCAACTCTATGTACAAGTATCTAACATTAAGCACACATTTCTTAAAGATACATTATGGGAGATATTTATAGAGAGTTGGCCATTCTTGCTATAACAGTTCAAAAGTAGATGATGAAAGAAGAATATATTGAAAAATTCAATCAAATTACTTTATTCTGAACCTAGTTATCATCATTGTAATATTTGCCTAGAAATTGTAGCGAATTGTGTCTTCACCTTCGCCGAACGTTTGATTGACAGGCGTTAACTCCACCTACATATCTCGATTATCAAGTAAAGTTTTCAATGGCATACGGAAAGGCTTTATCTGATTTAATCAATTAGTGAAATCCTATTTAAATCCGAGCTGTAGCCGAGCCATCCGTGGGTCTACAGAGTTGATTTTGGTCTTGTTGTTTAAATAAAGATCTAATTTATAATTTCTATAACATCTAAAGCCTAAATTAAGACTTGCAATAATCAAATTTATCTCTTGCATAATGCATGTTTAATTAAAAATTTGAAACGTTTTAGAATACACAGTGTCTGGCCACAGTATTAAACTTTAGAAAAATAAAACTGATTACAGCCATCAAAAGAGCTTTGGCATCTACCCATTTTAGATCTTGAATGAACTGAAACATTACTGAATTATTATTTAATAGAATCTACAAATAATCACATACCTGATCAGCTAGGGCAGCAAAGTTATAATGTGGTTCATACATATGTGGTGCTAATACAAACGATGCTTGGAAAAATGCTCTGGCCTGTAAATATAAACAGAATCAAAACAATGTATTATTTAAATGCCAATGATAAAAGCATACATTTTGATCAGAATTATTTATTTGAAAATTTTTAGTGCAAGGGTATAATAGTAGAAAGAATCCACACTTCGCATACTGGTGATTCAGCAGCATAATCAGGATTTGAACTGTGGGATGGGACCACAGCTATGGAATTATACTGTCCATGAAGGGCACTGGCAAGATGACTGGTGCAATCTGTTTCACAGAGATCTTCTAATATCTCTATAACAGATGACTGTTTCGACACGTGACGTCACATAACGCGGCGTCAATCATTGGCTCAATAGCACATGCATTGTTTAATAAGACGTTACTGATTCGGACTAAATGGTGAATTTTACTTATTTTAGTACCCATTTACACTAAATAGGAAATGATTTTTACCTACAAATAATTCAAACGTCATTATTTATTTTTCTAATAAATGAAAAAAATGTTTTAGAATTTAAAAAGTTAATATTTGGGACTCATTAAGTCGCATCGATGTCATCCTTATCAGTGATTGTAGCGGCTTAGCGAAAATTCACTGCTGATCAGTGTGGGACTGGTGGTCTTTCAAAATTAAGTCTGTCTTAACAGCATTTTCAACGTACTTTATTTTTTCTTATCTGTTAGGGAGGATCCCTTCCCCTAACTTAAAATATGATAGGTTCAGTAAAGGAATGGGGCTTGATATTTGATCATCATAACACTTCAGTCATTTTATTTTCTTTAGTTACATGTACAATAGCAGGGGAAGAAATTTTTGCCCCAACACTACAGCTGCCTTTACGGATACTCAAATGTCAACTTCCAAGGTGATACTCTTTATAAAAGATATGTTCAGATAAAATTATTGGGAGTATATCATATGATAAGTTATTGCAGAACAACTCGGACCCAAAAAATAAAATTTTGTGAATAAGCCTAAGAAATAAATAAAATAATCTGCCATCTTGCTATCAGAAACAACTTCTGTGATTTGAGATAATAAGTCTAATTATGTACCGACAATAAAGCAATGGCTACTAGAAATGGCATCAATTACATTTTCACTACCATGGAAGAATTTAAGTAGCAGCCGACATCCTGTTAGCGGAAGAGAAGAAAAGAATGGGTTGACAAATTACACATGAAGATTTGGGTATGGCCATGATGAAGAATTGTCATGTAATATAAGGCACGATGGTTGTATTATCATTCTACAAATGGACAATGTGATTATTATCATATTGAACTAGTTCTATGTGCCGAACACACCATATTATCACTTGAACAATAGAATGGATTTCCTATTGTACTTCCCCCCTCTCTTATTCTACCACTCTATACCCTATATACACTTAAATTTAACTTTAACCACATAAATACTAAATGTACCAATATATATAGAACAGAAAAGTTTTATTCTAAATATGGCTAACCCCAAAATTATTGGAAGGAAATATTAATTATTAGATATTGAAAATCATATAAATAAATAAGTTGGAAGTTGTATCCATATTTGAAATATTTATTCAATGAAATTTTAATACATTAAATAATACAGGTCTCTAATACAAATGTATAAAATGAATTTTATTCAATATCTTGGAGACTGGATATCTCCCTTTAACACATACAGTTCTCTAATACAAATATATAAAATGAATTTTATTTAATATCTTGGAGATTGGATATTTACCTTTAACACATTTCTCAACCTTTTATCAAAAATTACATGCATAATCTAAGTTTAGCATAAATTCATGATATCTAAAGAATTCTCATGATGGAACCGAAATTTCTATAGCCGCTATTCACTGGTGTGTATTAAATACGTATGAGATGTCTGCTAGTAAAGTGCTTTAACTTAAGCTGAAACATGACATCATTTCATGAGGTTTTCTAATATTTCATCTCCTACAAGGGCCCCAAATTACACAATAATGACCGTGAAAAATCTATGGTGATCAATAATTTCAAATTACTTGAAAACCTGGCGTTTTAAATGGCTTGTGTATTTGCATTGATCAAACAAAATTTTTCCCACAAATTGCCTGAAACATGCTATTATAGAATTATATGGCAAATTATTGATTATATAAAACCATAAGTTTGAAAGTTTGCAGACGATCCAGCATGGCTATTGACAGGTGATTGGATCATGTGTAAATTTCAATATCTAAAGACACATGTCATTGATTACAAGTACATGTAGATTTCACAATCTCTTTTATAACATAATGGATAAATGCAAAAATACAATTTAGACAAATTTGAGTAATTACTGAAAAAAAAACAGCAATAATTCATAATGTCTAAAAACTCCTTAGTTGAGAGTAACGTTGGAACAATATCTATTTCCATTCACTAGTCAAACAACAAAATAAAAAAGAAGTGGTATCATCTTTCCAAGACATAATAAAGAGAGAGAGAGAAATGCGGTTTAACATCCACTCAACACAAACTAGGTCATTTCGGGACTAACATATGGTTCACTTTTATTTCAATAAGGACCCAGAGAAAACCCACGAAGTTGGACAGGTGACCCTAATCCTTATCACGTACAAGCAGGGAATCGAAACCTCACCACTTTATTCAATGATAGACATTATGATGCAAAGCGCACACATCATAATCATGGTACTGGTGCATGTATTTACAAAGACAGCCAGTACATTTTGACCTGTATGTTGTGCCAAAAAAGTCTTCTAAGCTGGAATTTCTCCTACAAATACATAATATCTTGGCTTCGAAATGGGTTAGAATTAAATGATGTTATCTAAAAAAAATCTATAATATGTTGTAGACTGTTATCAGTCATCTATCATTAATATTGATTTCTATAATTTGGCAATATGATGTAAGGTCTCTCATTTCTACAAGATGCTATAATTTTTTCTTATCTGAAGAATGGCAACATCAATAGTTTTACTGACAGATGTACAGTTGTTCTAACTAACTATAATGAAGATAAATATATTTGTACTCTTATACATGGAGTCAGGTATTAAATGGGTTCCATATTTTTGGATTCTAATATATTGATTGTCTTCCACAAGATGGTTTCACATGGTAACGTGAATATTTCTTCATTTTTTGCCCAGATATTACTTCGGCTATTCATTATAACACATCACTGACTAAACCGGTCAATACCAAGATAACTTTTTCTAAGACATTGATATTTTATACAATTACAGTCAAATTCTGATATTTATCTGTTCAAGATATTGTGTAATTCAGCTAAATATAGTGACAGGTCACATGCATGAGACAGGGTATAATTAATCTTTCTCAAACACTTGATATCACTTTGGAAGTTCACACAGCTAACATTTGTATTATTTTTGAATTTAAACAACTTGGCAAGATTTTTTCTATTGGTGGTCTTTGTCCCTAATTTCACTTCTATTCTAGTAGTAGATTTTAAAATTCAAGTTTAAACTATCCCTGAAAATAGTTATAGTTGTTGTTGTGCACTTGCCAGTGTATGTTTACTCTTCTAGCATACAGTATTTAGTTAACACTAACTTTTGTTGTCTTTCTGTAGAGTAGAAGTAATGCTAGATATACATCTACTAATAGTTATAGTTGTTGTTGTGCACAAGGTGTATGCTTACTCTTTCTAGTACAAAATATTATGCCTTCTATCACAAAATATTAGATGTTGTATTTCTGTAGAGTAGTTGTATTGATACAGACAGTATAGAGTAAGAAAAGAGTTTAATCTCCACTCAATGCAAACTAGGTCATTTTGGGATAAACTTATGGTAAATTTTATTTCCATAATTCACTTGCACATGGGTGTGTTTAGTAGTGGAAGAAAAAAAGGAGAACCTGGAACAAAACACATGAAGTTTGACAGGAAATTCTACTCCTCTACTCCTTGTCACATACAAGTGTGGGATTGACACCATGTCATTTGACTCAATGATAGACTATACAGTGCCCATGCTAGACCAATCGGTCACCCAACCCTAACAACTATTAAATAAAATCTCCATGAGATGAAGCATAATCTTTGTATGATATTGACATACTAGCTGGCTGATTTCTCTTCCGATTTACATTACAATCAAAACATGTAACAGTTGTTCCATTAGATCAGTCAAATGGAAATAATACAAACAGATTCCAACTGTGATAGAGACAGACAGAACTAAATGTCACACTGGTCGTGGCTTTCATGAACTGTTGTAGAGTACCAAGTTGTCTCTGACAATATTTCATTATTGTACTGATACATAAGATCATCTTATTCTCAGGGTGGGGCTTTAGATTGTGCAATGTGCAGATCATTGATTTAAAATGAAATGAAATGAAATGAAATGGGGTTTAACGTCCTACTGTTCTGCTTCTATGCTGGGCTAATGAAGACGGGCAAACGCCATACAGTGTGCTATGAGGGAAATTTTGCCCGGGCAGCGGCACTATGGCCTACTCTTATATCGAATTCCAACTGCCAAGGGATCTTTTACGTGCATTCCAATGTATACACAGGACCTCGGTTTTTAGTCTCATCCGAAGGACTAGACAGCTGTCCTTGTCAGGCCCTCCGTCTTGCATCACTGAGAAGGGGGAACCACGCCAGAAAATCTGGATAAACTTCCTCAGCCAATGCAGGGATCGAACACCCGACCTCCACTTACCCACATGATCCCCCCATTGACTTAAACCACCCAGGTCTGGTCATGGTTTTCATGACCTTTTGTAGTACCAAGTATTCTCTGATAATATCACAGTATTGTACTGTTACATAAGATCACTTTATTCTCAGGGTGGGGCTTAAGATTCTGCACATTATTGATTTAAGCCACCTAGGTCTGTGGAGAAGAGTACTGATGACAATCTTGTAGCAATAAACACAGCTGATCAACAAAATAATAAACTGGACTTTAACTTAATACTGGTCAAATAAATACAGACCAAGACCAAACACTGATCTTTAAACAAATTCTGCCTTGCATATTAGAATAATATTGAACCATATTATC